AGCCTAAAGCGTGGCGTGGAAAGACCAGCGATCAAATTGTCATCCAGCAAGACAATGCAAGGCCTCATCCATCCGGTGACGATCCTGATTTAGTCAACGAGTTGAAGAAAGACGGGTTCAACATTTCGCTGCATTGTCAGCCTCCTGATAGCCCCGATATGAACGTCCTAGACCTTGGGCTGTTTAGGAGCATACAGTCACTTCAGCATCAGATTCCTATATATACCATCGACGGGCTGGTATCAGCAACAAAACAGGCGTTCTGGTCAATAGATCCAGACATCCTTAACAACATCTTCTTAACCTGGCAAGATTGCATAATTGAAGTCATGAAAGGCAATGGTGACAACAATTACAAAATTCCTCTCATGGGCAAAGCTTCCATGCAGAAGAAAGTGCAACTGCCGGTCACACTCATATGTCCTCACGAGGTTATAGAGCAAGCCAAAGCCTTCATTTCTACACAATAAACATTCAACCTTGACATAGCCGGGTATTTATTCTGAGACAAAGATTAAGTGCGTTCACGGGGTTTATTTTGAGATAGAGGGAGTATCATTTTTTGCTTGAATTAATTTTGTATCGATATACTGTTGAATAAGCGAGTAAGAATAGAAGAATTAGTAACTTGAGCTCCTTTAGCTTTTGCTCCTTGAAGTGGTGTACGGACACAACGCCCCTGATAACTTCATATGTGCATAAAGCTTGGTAACAACCCGATTCGACATGAAATCACTTGCGATTAGTCCCATGACCTAGTGGTGAAGTCTGTACCTTTGTCGAAAAAGACAGAAATTCTATAATATCTATCCTCACAAGCGATATACCAGCATAATAATCAAACGTTAACGTTGACCGGGATCAGGGAAATGATTGTCGAAAGCTGAAAGCGGTAATAACTCACTTAGAGGCGCTCATCATTTTTTAAAATACGCTAGCGAGGCTAATCAAGAGCGCTTTACGGTATGCCTCGATGTGTCTCAACATTAGAGCACTGATATTGAGCGTTCCAGCCCGGGATGCAGAAAACATGCTTCCTGGCTGATAAGAGTTGAAATGACCACGAGTTCGGCCTTGCTGCAAATGAAGTTACGACGCGTCGATCTTGTGATCTTCAAGCTGGGATGTCGCGCGCAAAATTGACATGCCTCAGCTTAGAGGCATGTCAATTTTGAGGAATCTCCTCGAACGGGTGTGAGTCGCACCACCTCCGCGTCTAGCCCAATGAGAATGCGGTGGCGCTCGCATTATCGCGGAGAATAGGAGTGCAAAAAAACTTTGCCGCGATGGTTTGATGGGGTACGGAAGTAGAAGGTCGATCAGCGCGCCAGAGACGATTAGCCTTAGTCATACTGAAAAATATAGAGATCTCTTAGCGAATGATCGGTTCTGCCCATATCTCTACTGCTACATAGAACATCTGCGCCTTGTGTGCCTTCTTTCTGTCGTCTGAGAGGTACATATGTTCAGGCCCCATGCAAGAGCGGACAACAAACCTCTCACGGAAAAGCTAGCTGTAAGTAGACACAAGGATCCCTATTGAAAGAAGTGTGTCGTATTATGAGGTACAATAGTACCTCATGGTGGTCGTGGTCAATAGAAACTAGCTGCAAAAGTGGTGACTCCGTAACGGGGGTTACACGTACCCTGATATAAAAGGGTGGGTCACACAAGATGGTGTGATCGTACAAAGTGGTGAATTAGACAAGACGGTCTAATCATACAATGGCGTGGCTACACCTTAACAAGAAGCCCCCACGTGGCGGGACTGCCAGTAGTTATGCATATTAATTAAGTTTTACTATTTAATTTGGAGAAGTCTAGCGATCAAGATATAGGCGGCTTTGCCACAAGTAAAATGAAAAATACAGTTTAATTTCTGAGCCGAAGAATGTATTTGCCTTGGGTAAGTGTTTTGGGTACTCATGGAGATAGCGGATTGCGATCCGCTATACTTGTACTGGTTCTAGTATAGAACGTAAGGTCGGCGATCTCGCATAGCTTCCACTACGCAAAGAGCTATGGCAGCCCTGCTGCACTTGATAGCACTCGTAGTCATTCGACGCCTAAGTCGTTTCGAGTGATCCTCTGTGAAGATTCGGCAATTCTCCTGCTTGCCTCAGGGTCGGCGTCGACGACGGGTAAATCTGTTCGACCCAGGCCGCTTATGGTTAGCGCTAAGACCATTGAGGAGAAGGATGGGTAGAATCCCTTACTCTGGGAGACAGAGGCCAAGATGGAAATGGCATCCGCCATGCGCCGGAACGAGCAACTGCGCGTAGCGCTAGTGGGGTCGAGCACGAGAATGACATTTCGGTCATGGCGGAATTCCCTCCTGGAAGGAGCTGAAGCTGCAGCTTTTGCGAGTGTTCTCGTCGCCTAACCAGGCATATCACGTGCGATCGCGTTTTCTTGCCGTTCGACAGGGCAAGAAGGAGCTGTTGAACTTTGTCTAAGAGTAGCAAACTTACAATGCCGGGATGGCAGCTGATCCTCTCCTTGAGGCGATCATACTGAGCGTCTTTATGAAGAGCCAACGCAGTGGCGTGGCCAGAATGGAAGTCTTTCGTGAACATCCACCTTCTTTTGAAGAAGTGGATAGTGTAACATTGAATGCCGAATTTAGCTTTAGGTCGGCACGACTTGGTTGAAATGTACACTCTCATATATCTTCGAGTGGACATGAGTAAATGGATCTCAGCTATGCTGAGAAAGAGGGAAAAGAGCTTCGAGCTGTCGGGCAGCGTTCGATCATCCGACGGTGTTTCATAAGTGGAGGCATTTGTCACCTTTATAATGCCTGTCCCCTGCGCAAGGCGTGACGACCCGCTTTGAACCAGTCTGGTTTGTCGCTGGGAAACAACAACACCCAGTAGGCACGGGGCTACGTTTCGGGAATCAACTGAGTCCTGTTGAGCCTCACAGAGGTAGAGGGCAGCAGGGCTTAACCCTGAAGATCTCCGCGGTCTTGAGTACGGAACGTGTATGCAAGCCGGGCTTGCTGGTCGTGAAAGCGACCGTGAAGGGCTTTGGAACCCATAAAAGACCTTTTGTCGACTCCGGGGCGTCGGTCAATTATGCTCGACGCTTCACGACGGAAGGAAGGCAGATGTATGCTGATGCGCTGAAAGCGCGGTTGAGTGACACCGTCACTGTTTGCAACGGGGGCTTGTGTCACGGTGTCGAGGGTCCCTGTAGACTTCAGTGTCAAGTTTCTTGATTTAGCAGCGTGGAACGCTGTTCAGTCTTATACATGATTAAAGGTATGACCTCATCCTTCGTATGACATGGCCCGATTTGAAGGTTAAGCCACGAATTGTGGTTCCTCACGATGGAAAGTTGATGTACCGTATCCTATATGACGCTCACGACATCCCACTCAGTGGTCATCTCAGTCGTGTACATCACTGTGAGCTGCCCCTACTGGTGGTCCAAGCTGTACAATTGGACGAGCACTTATGTACGCACGTGTGAGTTAAAAGATGAAACTCTCTCCGAATGCGGCGGCGCTGCCGCTAATTTTATTGATATTCTCCCGGTCTTGGCAGTCCATGAGTATAAACTTTGTGTTTGGCCTGCCGAAACACCCGGCAGGCAACACAGGTGTGGTGGTCTTTGTGGACCGTATGAGCAAGAAGGCTCATCTTGCGGTGGTGACGAGCATCACCGACGGTGTCGGTACAGCAACGCTGTTTGTGGGTCAAAAACACTGACATCATGGACTAGCGGAGTTAATTGTCTCTGACAGAGACACACGCTTTCGGGGAAGTTCTGGTCGACAATCTTCAAGGTGCTGGGCATCAAGTTGGCTATGTCAACAGCGAAACAATCGCAGACCGATGGTCAAGCTGAGCGCGTAGATTGCGACATTGAGGACGTTTTTCGTAGCGTCTGCGCTGAGACGTCGAGGATCTGGAGCGCCAAGATGCAATTTGTGGAGTTCGCTCTGGACAATGCAGTGGATGCGTCTACCGGCTAGACGTTTTTAAACGTGATCGAAGTCGTTCATCCTCGCGTTCCGCTGACGCCGGTATCCCATGGTTCTGAGCTTGGTGGGAGAGGAATAGCCGAGCGGCTAGCTGATGTCAGCCCTCTCACTGTTCGTGAGGAAGTCGATGACTTCCTGTCTACCACACTGAGTGTCTTACGACACGTTCGCGACGCGATGGCTGAAAGCCAAAGCATGCGGCAGGAATATGAAGACGAAAGAGTTAAATGAAATGTTCAAAACTTTGAGGTCGGAGACCTGATTTTATTTAATTTTAAAACTTCCTACCTCTGCAGATTTTGCTGTCTTTGAGACGAAGCTCCATCCACAGTTTATCGGACCATTCAAGGTTGTGGCCAAGCGGAACCTTGCGTATACGCTAGACCTTCCGAGAAGAATGCGCATCAATCCGGTGTTTATGTGGGCTTGCTCAAGCCGTTCCGGGATCCGGCGCTAGTGTACGCGGAAGCGTTGAAGCCAGAGCGGTGCCCATAGGCGCTCCACCGTCGAACAAAGCAATACATTTGTCTGCTCGACGGCTTCGAGCCGCTCTGACAGAGCGCGATAGTCCTCAACGCGAGGCAGTTGGTGCAAAAAAAGGCTCTATGCTCTCGAAGCCTTCCGCACAGCTGTAGCGACCTCAGCATGATGCTGTGCAGAGCGCCGATGGCGACGGATATTATCATCAAGAGCTCGAAGAGCATTGCAAGTCACCGAACAGCGATCGACCGAGTCGTCATCGTCCGCCGCCGACTCCTCTCGAAGAGAACGGTTGCATCCACAATGCCTTGTGGGGCGACGTCGTCGGCAGGGCCAAACCCACTTTCTTGTGAACTGGCGGGCATACCCAAACTCAGAGAATTCGTGGGAATTTGAGAAGCTACTTCAACACGACTGCCTAGACGTCTTGGGACGTTTATGATCAAAGGATTCATGGCACTCCGCGTCGTTGTACGTCCCGCGATTCTCGGCAGTGGCCGGATAAGCCAAACAGCCATGAGCTGAGCACAAGTCATGACTGTGGTCGTAGACTCACCCTTGTGAGAAACCACAGAGCTACGGGAGTGTTATGGATGATTCCATAGGTTGCATGGCGTCAATACGTAGAAAGTCCGGGTTTTGCATTGAGTTTGACAAACTTGAACCGAAGATGGCGTTCTACGCGCACGTCCACTTCCTTTTGGCTCCGCAGTACGTCAGGCAGCGATAAAAGTTCCAGTGCCGCTGCACCGTTTCTCAAAGGGCTCTTTATCATGCAGTAGTTTTGCCAGGGGAGAACACCACTGGAATAGTCCATATTGCGGGTACAGGAGCGCCTCTTTTTGAGCGCGAAGTCGAGGGCGGTACCTATTCAATGGGATTTCTTGAGGTTTCAAGAAGCGAGCTCAAGGGCTTTTCGTTGGTCAAGCTGTGTTGTGGCCGTAGGCCCGACTTCGTAGACGCCTAACGATCAAGTGATCGCATCTCCGCACCAGTAGCGGG